GCCAGAGTAGGGCTTCAAAAAAAAAAAAATTTTATCCTAAAATGGACGGTGAATATATGACTTCATATTTAAGATTCAGTCAGAGTACACTGTTTGACATTCATGGGTTTATACTACTCTATAATTTTACATTCAACCAGATCTTCTTGTAAAATTATTCATACACATAGCCACATAATTTTGTATTTTACAATGAATCAACAGACAGCTTTTCTGATTTCAGGCAGTGCTGCAGATGTTTGCGACTTGAAGACAAGGGACATAATCTGCTCGGTCAACCAGACGGATGTTTCTGCGATGACTGCTGCTGAAGTTGGAGAAATTATCTCCCTTGCTGTTGGTCAAGGTTATATAGAGATTAATGTTTGGAGAGAGAAAGATGAGGGTAAGAGATAATTTGTTAATGTCACATTTTTTAAATTGTATTGTAATATTATATTTCTTAATTTATATTTTGATACATTGGCAGATTAGTGTTTGAAGAAGAAAAAGAGATTAGCTCAGTCATTCTTACCCACATAGGACCGATGGTTACACCTGGCATGGTGTATCTGTTATGGATGTCTTAACCATAATGACTTTTGAAGCAGAACTATGGTATCTATAATCTGTGATCAGGTTGAGGTTCTTCAGTCTCATGATAGACTTCTCTTTTCACAGTGGCCACAACTGGATGTGTTATTTTGTGATCGCTGTGGTTTCTCTCGGATTGTTCTGTTCCCTTATCATGGACTTCTATTTTGTGTGTATTTCCCACCCAGAATACTATGTGTTTTTCATGGGGGCAGCGTGTGTTGAGGTTGTGCTAGGTCGGGGTGGGATAATGACCAATAGATTTGGCAACATCGACCACGCTGCTTTCACAAAGTTTTGATCATAGTGGCCCACTGTCCAGGAAGACAGAATCTTGTCAGGCGGGGACTGCAGATGTCTAGAGAGCAAACTTGATACAATTTCTCCCCACAAACAGAATGTGTCAGTCATTTGGAGGGGAGGGCGGAGGGATAGGTTGATATATGGTTAACTCAGAATCCTGATCTTAGGATAGTGTGGTACACCATCAGGTAGCAGCCTATAGGAGATAAATCAATCAGTCAATCAACGTTAGCTCAGTTCTGTGTTCAGTGATTTATTTAATGTCATCCGGAAGACAGCTTCTCTGCTTTTTTGTTTATTTTTTTATTAGTTAACATCCAGAATGCTGGATCTGTCAAACAGCAAAACACTGGCAAATAATAGTTCCATGTTTGCTTAGCTTCTAATATAGGTCTGTGGGATCATTAGGATGTGACACTGACATTTGGCGAGACTAGCCTGACACTCACACATTTCAGAGTTTTAAATCCAGTATATGGACTGAAATCATGTGAAACCTGAAGAAAATAAAAGACTTGCATTAACTGGAGTTTTTATAAAGACCTTCCTCTTGACCAATTACAAAATACCATCTTATTGGGGTCTGTGTTGCTGAGTTCCCTTCCCCTATCCCAGCCCCAAAAAGTAGTCAGACATTCAGGATCAGAGCTGAAAATTAAAATCTACAGAGCAGCAAAGCACTTCTTGGAGTATTAGCGCTACAGGCGGGGACCCAGAAAGATGACATTGCAGAGAGGTGCTCCAAGATCTTAGCAAATGTCCGATCTGACTTCAGCATTGTCATGTCTCTCAACCTTGACTTCTTATGCTGTGCTGTTATCTTGTCTTATCTTCTCATCTGAAGTTTCTGAATTAACTCTTGCAGTCCCAGACAATCCACCATGTACAGGGTATTACTCATGCGCACAATCAACATGTTTTGTCTATTTTTACATCTGAAGTTTAGCCAGGAAAACTCAGTCAATCCAGCAACACCAGTCACCAACACTGTGTTGTGTATTTGGACCCTGTGGATATAGTGTACCCATGCTTTTATTGCTTCAATCAGGCATCACTATCATCTTCTGCGGCTGAAAGTGTCAGTTTGTTCAATATGAATTCTAACAAAGAAGACACAAACAATAGAGTGCACAATTTATTGCCTGGCATATTTCGCTGTTTCTCATCAGGTGAATACTACATTGTAGTAGTATGCACCTGATGAGATACAGCGAAATATGCCAGGCAATAAATTGTGCAGTCTATTGTTTGTGTCTTCTTTGTTCAAATTCACATCGGGGAAACATTGCTTTGATAATATGAATTCTCTCTATTCTTTTTCCTTACTTGAGTTGACCTATGAAATTTCAGTGTGATTTTGTCATTCAGTTGAAATTCTATTATAATTCAGCTACAGGCAGCCATCACTAATTTCACCAACTCTGTTCCCAGATGACTACGATGAGTTTGACTCATCCAGTGATGAGGGAGAGGAGACCATCAGCTCTCCAGGATATAGTCTGCATCAGACACAAATGACTAAGGTCAGTAGAAATAATTTCTCTGTTTTCCTCTGTCTTCTTCTTCTGCCTCTTATTTACTGATGGAGCATAGACTTCCAGCCAGCTCCTGCCAACAATTATGTGGTCTTCTTAATCATGCTAGGTTGGATTTTGTAGCTAAAATATTCTGTGTTATGTTGTCATACAGCATAGAATATTTCAAGTGAGAACATAACATAATACTTTAGTGATAACATAACATAATATTTTAATGATAACAGATTATTGTAGTGTTAGCATAGAGTATTTCAGAGGATAACATAATATTTGGTGATAACATAACATAATATTTTAGTGATCTTTCAAATGGCAGTTGTATTGTTTCTGTAAAAGCATGTTATGTGCAAATAACAATATACATAATATGAATATCAAGTAAAATACACAAAAGCATAAAGTGGTATATACATACATACATACATCAATATATACATGTACACATACATATAGATGTAAATACACAGATGTGCATACACTCATACATGCATAGCTATCTGTCTGCCTGTGTACATACACACATACATACACATACACTCACACAGGATGCAAGCATACACACCCTCATAAATGCATGAATACACACGCTCATACATACCCATGCAGAAACTGTCAAACATACACACACACCCATGCCCACACACACAATTCTATACACACTTCCATATTCTATGGAATAAGATGGTAAGTGCCAAGGTAGTTTGGAAAGTAAGTAGGTAGTTTGGAAGGTAAGCAGGTAATTAGGTAGGTAAACAGGTAGTTTGGATGGGAAGCAGAAAATTAGAAAGGTAGGTAGATAGTTAGAAAGGAAAGCAGGTAGTTAGGCAGGTAATTAGGAAGGTAAGCAGGTAGTTAGGAAGGTAAGCAGGTAATATGGATGGCAAGCAGACAGTTAGGAATCTAAGCAAGTAGGTAGCAAGGTAATTTGGGATGGAGTGATAGATAGTTGATGTGAGTCAGAATGATTGATTGATGATTAACTGGTCAGATTGACAGTTTACACACACATCAATGAAGTTTGTAGAATCTCATCGCTAATTTTTATAATTCCTTTGCTAGCAAGCACTTAGGCCTGTATTATTCATGACTGATATACAGATGTGATTTGTGAACTATTTTGCAATCATTAAGATTGAATAGGGATTTTTGAGCTGAAATGCAATGGAAAGATAGAATACCATGGATGAAGAAGAAAAGAAAGAATTAATGATATTCTTAAAGATCTGAACATTCAGGAAAACTAGCTCATAAGCAGCAGTTTGTGTTGGATGCTGAAATACGTTTGGTTGTATCAAACCCCACCTGAAAGAACTGTAGCAGAAGGTGTTGTGCCAGATAAGAGAGCCAGGGGCTGACCGGCATGAAGATAGACACAAGGCATCAGAGACTTCTTGGGCAGGAAGTGCATGATGCAGAAGAGCTGGCGAGGAACAGAGTGTCTTTCAGGCAGACCCTGATGTGTTCACTAAAAGTCCTGCTTCATGATGATGACTATGCAGTATATCATACAGATCTATTTTACTGAAACTTTGGGGCCTAATCAAAACTTTTTTAAATGCCATCATCTGTGGCATTGGCATTGCAAATGCACTTTGCAATTCTGAGAAACCCAATTTGATTCCAGTTGTAGGTAATTTGGCAGCAAGTCGCTATGTGTTGAATTTGACAGCAGGCCACCATTCAGACAGAAATCACAAACTAATTCATGTAAAATTGCTGTGAAAACTCACAAACAGCCTAAACAATTATACAGCCTTAACATGCTGGGTTTGATTATGTAACGTCCTGTAAAGGATACTGACTGTATATAAAACTAGAAATTTTTAGATAGATTTTAAGGTTATTTCTCCTCACCTCACCAGTCAACTCAATTATATGAGTACCTCATTCATATTTTTGCCTATGGTTTCTTCTGTACAACACATCTTTGTTCTTGCTGGCCAGTCTCTGGCTCGTCTTCCAGGACTGGTGACGTCCATTAACACTGTCTCAGTTTTTGTGATATTTGATCCGATTAGTGTATCTTTGTTTTTGAGACATGATACTGTGTATGAAGAAATAAAAGAAAAAATGTTTTGACAGTTGCTGGTATTAACACTTATAAGATGCAGAAGATAGCGATATATTGGACACATCCTGAAAAGAAGCAAGTATAGAATCACAAAACAGGTAATGAAATGGGAAACGTATTAACAGAGCAAATGTGGATATCTATGAAAAATCCTACAATGAACATTGATGAAAGAGGCCAAAGTTGCTGGACCGGATACCATCCTTGATATCAGCGGGATTATACAGGATAAAACAGAATGGAAGAACAGACTATGAGTTGTGTGTAACATATAACAACACAAGAGAATAATGATGATAATGATAATGACTGTTTAGGAGCTAGATTCCTTAAAATGTTATTACTTTCAGAACTTGAGTTTTGTTGTCTGTTTGATGCGCAGGATTCTCAGAACATTCTAGCTCCATTCAAATTTATCAGCCTGCGTTCTTGCAGTTTGCAGACAACTTGATATAAGAAAATAAAAAGGATTAAATCCTAGACACAATTTGTGATTAGTTGTTTGCCTCCCTTAGGGTCAGGACCAGAATGAGGACAAGAGGCTGGAAGTTACTGGCACCGCTAGCACCAGCAGACGTGAAGCTTCATCAGGTGAGAATCTGCGTCTGTTTGCTGCATGTATGCTGTATGCCTTCTCCTGCTTCTTCTTCTTCTTCACTTCCTCTTTTACTAGTTCAAATGTCAGGGAAGACAATACGGTTCTGTTTCTTGCTTTTCTCGCTGCCTTAACTATAGACTTATGTGCTTTCGTAGAGTTTTTGTGATATTATCTTTCTGTATTGTTATTGGTCTACCTCATGTTCTATGTCCTTTCCTGTTTTTATGTATGCCTTATATGGTATGATGTCACTAGGCGTTCTCTCCAGGTGGACAGACTGTTTGATATCCTGCCACTGTGTGTCATTTAGAATTGTTTCTGTGCCGAATTTGTCTCTTATGATCCAGTTACTGATTTTATCTTTTTTTGGTTGCTCCTGTATCCCTTCTCAGACATCTCATTTATATAGTTACTAATTTTCTTCTCTGATTCAGCTATATGGCTAAAATTATAATGCTTAATTTTATATTATTAAATAACAATATACATACAGGTAAATCCAGGTATTTAATACTCTCAAATCTAGATCTTCCCTGTGTGGGTTTTAGGGCCTTATTGTAGGGAAAACATCAACAGACCCAGTGCCTACTCAAAAGCATGTCCTAAGAGTCAACTAATTGGGAACATTCTTTGGAGTTGGAATGCATCTGCCTGAGAAGCAAGGAACCAACAGTCTGCATGCAGTTAAGTCAGATCTGTTAAATAGTTGCACATGTAAATTTCAGGTTCTGCAACAAGACTAAAGTCTAGATGTAGACAGACAACCAGAACTTTCCACATAATTTACAGCCAGTGAAAGTGAAGAAGGAGAAGAAGAAGAAATCCAGCTCATTAGGCAACAGCAAATACAAGTAATAAGTGTCTGGGGCAGAAAGAGGTGTTTCTCTTCTTGTGTTATGTCTCAATTGTCTCCTGTTTCCTCACTTATTTCTCTTTGTTTGTGCTTTGATTGTCCCCAGGTGGCAGCAAGTTTTCACAAAACTCATCAGACAGCCACAGAGATGAACATGATGAGACAGATATTGGGCCACCTGCTCTTTTGCGCCGGTGGCAACAACAAAAGCAACAGCAGCAGCAGCAACACCAGAAAGAGAAAGAGAACACATCAGATGAGGATTTAAGCAAGTTCTACAGCAAAATAAATTTGAATACTTCATTTAGTCGCTCAGAGTCTGAAAGAGATAAAGGTAGAATCTACTATATCATTTAATTTCCTTTTTTAGTTATGTTTTCTTGTTATTTTTCTGCGCTTCACAAAATATATAAAAATTACCTCACTTCACAATACTTATTATGTTGCATTTATTCATTCATTCAGTAGCATGTCCTTTGCAGAACCTTGCTGCCATAACAACCCTCCAGAAAACTTCTCGATCACAAACAAAATGTCCCACGTCTGATACACCCATCTGGAGATCATCCGCCACATCCTGCATCCATCTTCTCTTTGACCTTTCTTTTTTTTCTCCTTTCAGGCATATACCCCTCCATTTTTGTTCTCTCTAAACTTTTGTGACATTTCAAGTGACCAAAATATTTCAATTTTCTGTGTTTTATTGTCTTTTATAACCAATCCTCCTTCAGTATTCCGTTCTTGAAGTATGGATGCTATTACAATTGGAAAAAAAAAAAACAACACTTGTATCACACCTGAAATAAGATGCTATAGACCTTTACACAGCTCTCCTACACTAATGATAAACTGCGGTCCTGAACTAACTGAGCTGGTTCGAGTCCCATACCTGGTACTAAAGTATGATAAAACACACCTATGCCACCGAGATAAGAGACACTATAACCCACTCATCATGGGAACAATCAATAGAGGTACTTTTGAATGGCTGCTGCTGCATTGGAGGATGGAGCATGCATGTGAATGCCCAATGTGCAGTGATGCACAATATGGTAGCATAACAATATAAAGTGGGAGTTCCACTTCTCTGTGCCGACTAACTGGCCTCTTGAAGAAACAGTGAGCATTGACAAATGTCGCCCGTGTGTCACCGGGGCCCTCACGGGAAGCAAAGAATAGTGACACTGCACCCTACCAGGCATGTCGTAAGAGGCGACTAAGGGTAGGGTTGGGCTTGAGGTTGGCTACCTCATCCTGTAAAAACCATAGCCACAAAAACCAACCAACCATGGATAAGTCAAAAAAAGAAGCAAATAAAATCCAGCCAACCAAGATGAGGGAAGGCTCTTCAAATAGAAGAAGTATGACACGGTGTGGAGAAAGCCGCAAGGAGTCCGGATCGTTGACGTACCTCCTCTCAGCTAGGAAAACCTCCAGAATTGGCACCTGGAATGTTAGAACTCTTTTGGAACCCACAGGGGCATAGGAATAAAGGAAGGCCAAAAAACACATGGAGAAGAGAGCTGGAGAACGAGGTTAGAAAGATTGGGAGGACATGGGGGAGAGCTCCATGCAATGGCGAAGGATAGAACGACTTGGCGTGAGTTGGTTGAGGGCCTATGCTCCATTGGGGGATAGAAAGGCAGAAGAAGAAGATTGACAAATGTATTATAATCACACCAGTTTGATGACACTTCTACATGTTGTAGTCCCCTTAATCTCATTTCCTCATGTTATTCATCTCCATCTCTTCCTTTATGTGATTCACTCCTCCCCCCGCCCCACCCTGCTAACTCTGATTCACTCCTCCCCCCGCCCTGCTAACTCTGATTCTCTCCTTCCCCCGCCCCACCCTGCTAACTCTGATTCACTCCTTCCCCCGCCCCACCCTGCTAACTCTGATTCTCTCCTTCCCCCGCCCCACCCTGCTAACTCTGATTCACTCCTTCCCCCACCCCACCCTGCTAACTCTGATTCACTCCTCTCCCCACCCTGCTAACTCTGATTCTCTCCTTCCTTTAGTGTTTCATGTATATTTATTTGTTTTGCTGTGTGGCCATTACATGGCTATTGTAAGTGTCACACGCCATGTGAAAAGTGTATGGCTGTGTGTATTTTGTTCCTATGAATCTACCTCAATATCTGTAGCAGACTTGTCCTGCATGAACACATCTTTATATCATAGTAGAGGCAGGCATCAGCATTTTCTTACTCATCTGTAATTCACCATAGAAGATGTCCTTAGGAACTCTAACATCCTCCATTCTCCAAGTGTGACCCACCTGAGCCTTTCTAGGCTAAGCATTGAGAAGACTCGTAAAACCTGCTCTTTCCAATACCTCAGTGTTTATGATCTTGTCTCGCAGCTTAATATCTATTTAATCTAATTTGTTTGTTTCATATACATGGGACCCTTGGTGGCAGAATAGAGACTGTGCACTGAACTGAGAATTCTAGTAATGGGAGGAGACTGGAGCACTTACAGAGAAATCAGCGTGCAGTTCTTTACAAAACAAACCTGTATACTCACATGATGTTTATCTATCTTTTCAGTTGACCAGGAAATTCGCTATGGCACGTCCGAAGATTGGAGTAAAAAAATCGCTGAGCTAACAAAGGCTGATGCACTTCAGGTAAGGGATGCATAATTATTTGTCAGTTTGGGTTGATACTAAGTATCATCATCATCATCCTCATCTGATAGAAAGTATTTGATGAATGCAGCTCATTAGGACCCACCTGAAAAACTCTATCACTTGGTCATCTTATTCTTTACTGTTCACTGGCTATAAACTCTGGCAGAAAGTTCTGCTGTACTTCTGGACTTTAAACTTGATCCAGAACTACAGTTTTATGTGGCACTTCCTTTTGCAGATCTGACTTATGCAGATGCAGACTGGTAATTCCTTGTCTCTAGGCAGATGCAGTCTGACTTTGAAGGGATCCCTCAGTTAGTCAGTTCTTACACCATTTTGCCCAAATTAGGGCCCCAAAACGCACATGGATATTTGTATGTTCATTTATCAAATAGTTGGCCTGGCCCGGGAAGTAATCCTTTTCTATATTTTATGATCTCAAGTAGCATCTATCAAACAAAGCTGCACAATTACACATGCACACACACAATCATGCACACACACACATGTTCGCTTACATGCACGCTCACAGCTTCCTCGCCTCTCAGGAAATATCAGCCTCTTTGTAGCATGACCATGGAGAGCTGTAGGCAGATCTTGACCTGTTGGTAGCATCACCATGGAGAGCTGTAGGCAGATCTTGACCTGTTTGTAGCATGACCATGAAGAGCTGTAGACAGATCTTGACCTGTTTGTAGCATGACCATGAAGAGCTGTAGACAGATCTTGACCTGTTTGTAGCATGACCATGGAGAGCTGTAGACAGATCTTGACCTGTTTGTAGCATGACCATGGAGAGCTGTAGACAGATCTTGACCTCTTTGTAGCATGACCATGCAGAGCTGTAGACAGATCTTGACCTCTTTGTAGCATGACCATGAAGAGCTGTAGACAGATCTTGACCTGTTTGTAGGTTGACCATGGAGAGCTGTAAACAGATCTTTACCTGTTTGTAGCATGACCATGGAGAGCTGTAAACAGATCTTGACCTGTTTGTAGCGTGACCATGGAGAGCTGTAGTCAGATCTTGACCTGTTTGTAACATGACCATGGAGAGCTGTAAACAGATCTTGACCTGTTTGTAACATGACCATGGAGAGCTGTAAACAGATCTTGACCTGTTTGTAGCATGACCATGGAGAGCTGTAGACAGATCTTGATCTGTTTGTAGCATGACCATGGAGAGCTGTAAACAGATCTTGACCTGTGTAGGATGACCATGGAGAGCTGTAAACAGATCTTGACCTGTTTGTAGGATGACCATGGAGAGCTGTAAACAGATCTTGACCTGTGTAGCATGACCATGGAGAGCTGTAAACAGATCTTGACCTGTTTGTAACATGACCATGGAGAGCTGTAAACAGATCTTGACCTGTTTGTAGCATGACCATGGAGAGCTGTAGACAGATCTTGACCTGTTTGTAGCATGACCATGGAGAGCTGTAGACAGATCTTGACCTGTTTGTAGGATGACCATGGAGAGCTGTAAACAGATCTTGACCTGTAGACCATGGAGAGCTGTAAACAGATCTTGACCTGTTTGTAGGATGACCATGGAGAGCTGTAAACAGATCTTGACCTGTGTAGCATGACCATGGAGAGCTGTAAACAGATCTTGACCTGTGTAGCATGACCATGGAGAGCTGTAGACAAATCTTTTCCTGTTGGTAGGATGACCATAGAAAGCTGTAAACAGATCTTGACCTGTTTTTAGCTTGACCATGGAGAATTGTAGACAGATCTTGACCTGTTGGTAGCTTGACCATGGAGAGTTGTAGACAGAGCACCTCTGTGTCCCCTTTTCTCATTTGGAAATTAATTCATTAGTATTACTTGTAATACTACTATTAAGTAATATAAATAAAGATCAAAGACTTTTTACCATGTCTTCAGGTGTGGTGTATTAGATATGTAGGGATAGATCTATATTTCATAGACTGACTGGCATTTAATGGGCGATGTGGTCAGCAGCATACTGGCCATCTTTACTTCCCAGGACTGTACCTGATACCCACTCAAAGCTGGCTCAACCTGGGAGCCATGTTATTTTTGAAAATTAAAAAGGAAACAAAGTAATGAATCTAAAGTAAAGAGTGCTTACAAATTCCCTGTTTTTCAGGATGAACAGAGAGAGAAGGAAAAGGCCAGAATTCTGGAGGAGCGGCGAGCAGAAAGAAGAGCTAGAATTATGAACTCTGCCTCCCCAGGATCTTCATCTACACAGGCTCAGATACCAAGCCAAGAGGACAGGGCATCACGTGAAGAGACTCAAACACTTACCTCCCAGACATGGGCCCCATCTTTGCAGACTCAACCATCATCCCAAATGGAACTAAAGTCACCTCAGCAAAAATGGGCATCAGCTTCACAGCCTTGGGTGCCACCCTCACAGTCTCGACCAACACTCCAAGAAACTCGACCCTCACTCCCAGAGATTCTACCAACATTTCCAGAGATTCGACCATCCCTTCCAGAAACTCGGCCACCTCCGACAGAGATTCAGATGTCTGTTCCACAGTCTTGGATAGCTCCTTCACAAACCCGAATATCCCCAGCCAATCAAACATCCCATCCTTCCCAGTCATCGACACCGGTGCATATGGTTGTATCTAACACATCTGACAGAGCAGTTCCGCAGCAAGAACTCATCACTCCTCCCCAGGCTAACTCCTTCATCAGCTCCACCAACAGCAGCAGCAGCAATCAAACACCACTACCCCCAGGGTTCCAGACAGTTAAGTTTGTCATAGATACCAGGAACAAGTTTGTTATTGACCCCAGAAACCGGCAAGGAGTCAGGTCAGTTTAGTTTGTGAATTTAATTTTTCTTCTTTCTCTGTCACTTTAAAAAAAAATGTGTATTTGTCTTACAATATAAAGTTGTGAGTACTTTGACAGTGTGCAGCTTGAAGAAAAGATTACTTCATTGCACCAGATTTGATCTCAGAAGGCTCAATCTTTGCAGAATGGCCAGCCAAGGCCATCGAACAAAGCATGGCGTTGACCCACAGGGGTTTCTATCAAAATGGTACTCAAGAACCGAAGGATGCAGATTTGACCTTTAGAGCACTAGGAAAATGCCATGACTACTTCACCATGGAGACACCCCGAGGTTATGAATGAATTGAGTTTATGAATGAACTGAGTTTATGAATGAATTAAGTTTATGAATGAATTGAGTTCTGCAAGCTTTGATATATGAGAATGCACAGGTGAATGTCAAGTAGCTGTTGATTGGTTAGATTTTGCTGTGCAATTATCTTATCCTGTCTGTCTTGCTAACCTCCTAATTATTTACATTAATAACTATAGTTTATAAATAGGAGGAGCCAAGTTTTCATTAATTATTTACATTAATAACTATAGTTTATAAATAGGAGGAGTCAAGTTTTCATTAATTATTTACATTAATAACTATAGTTTATAAATAGGAGGAGACAAGTTTTCATTAATTATTTACATTAATAACTATAGTTTATAAATAGGAGGAGACAAGTTTTCATTAATTATTTACATTAATAACTAGTTTATAAATAGGAGGAGTCAAGTTTTCATTAATTATTTACATTAATAACTATAGTTTATAAATAGGAGGAGACAAGTTTTCATTAATTATTTACATTAATAACTATAGTTTATAAATAGGAGGAGTCAAGTTTTCATTAATTATTTACATTAATAAACTAGTTTATAAATAGGAGGAGACAAGTTTTCATTAATTATTTACATTAATAACTAGTTTATAAATAGGAGGAGACAAGTTTCATCACCATTTTTTAGCCTGTTGTAGATTTGCCTAACAGCACTAAAATGACAAACAGCTGATTTTTAAGCATAAGATAATATTAGGTAATTCAGAAGATCCATGCTAAGATTATGGAAACTGTTTCTGTCTGGGGCAAAAACAAAACTCCTAACTATTTATTCTCTGTCTCTCTCTATCTCTCTCTCTATCTCTCTCTGTCTCTCTCTCTGTTTCTCTCTGTCTGTCTGTCTGTCTGTCTGTCTCTCTCTCTCTCTCTCTCTCTCTCTCTCTCTCTCTATATATATATATATATATATATATATATATATATATATATATATATATATATATGGTTGGCGGTGGTTAGTTGCGTATCCTTTACAGGATGTTGCAGAACCAACCCCATCAGCCCCTGGGTGTGTGGTTTCACTAGGCAAATTTACGTCCAGTAGTTTGCCATTGCCTACTGGACGGTCAGCTCCCTGATACCACTGTTGAAACCAACGCAAGGCGTATGGCCCGCAGCTGGGATCGAACCCGGTACCCAGGCATTACCAAGCATTCGCATTGACTTAGCCAAAGAGCCGACATATATATATATATAGTTTTTAACCTAAAGGCAGTACAAAGAGCTTTGTTTCGTGTGTGTGTGTGTGTGTGTGCGTGCGTGCATGCGTGCATACGTGCGTGCGTGCGTGCGTGCGTGTGTGTGTGTGTGGAAATAGTATAATAGTTGGGAATTTTCTCTTCAGACTTGTGAACCTATCTTAAAAGATGCTTGTGGAATATTTTTGTTTTAGTGAAACTGTCCAGCCAGCAGACGTGCAAACCAGATTTGACCACCAAGTGAAGCCAGGTTAGTTTCATGTTTATACCTTTCATCAGCTAAATATTGCATTTTTGTTTGAACATTAAAGTATTGCTGTTGCTTGTATTAGTTTTATTTGTGCTATTAAGTTTTATGCTTTTTTTAAACTACGTCACAATTGTTGTTTAACTGATCACTCATAATATTGTACTTTCAACTATGAAAACATAATCTACAAGTATATATTGGTATAACAAGAGAAACGTCTGGACACCTGCTGGTATAAACAGTTATAAGACAAAGAAATTGGCAAAATAAATTTGGCACATTCTGAGAAGTGACTGTATACCCAGTATGTCTGAGGACTTGGAAAAGTTCCTTGTTCTTTTATCAGCATTGATGGACAATATGACCAACATTATGCCAGCCACCTTTGCTTCCCATGATTTTTCCTGCTGCCCATTTGAGACTGGACCAGCGTAATTGTCAAGGTCAGTCAAAAAAAAAAATTTTTGCCTGTTGGGGATTTGAACTCAAGCTTTCGGGTTGATAGATGGCTGTTACAATAAGATCCCGTACATTCTGAATATCTATCACATGCTTTGTTTTATGTTATCTATTAACTCTTTGAGTCCCAAGTAACACATTATATGTTTATAGGTTCCCCCCTAGAGGCCCAATGAATGCAAGATGCACCAATTTTACATCTCTTTTGACTTCCCCTTGGGCCTCTGATGCTAAACCCCATGGGGCTCAAAGAGTTAATCTTTTATCTTGTTTTATAGCAGACAGATAAAATTTGTTGTGTGGAAAGATAAAATGTATCAGTATCATTTGCAGACAGTGGAGTATCCAATCTAATTGAAGAAGAAAGAGAGCGAATCAGGAATGAAGAAATAAGGAGATTGAAAGAAGAACGGCAGAGAGCAGAAGAGGAACTACTGAGGAAGGAGAGAGAAGAAAGATTACAGCTGCAGCGAGAAGAAGAAGCAATTCAAAGAGAACGGGTAAGTTTGCTAAAATTTCCTAATCGTAAATAATTTAATAAATAGAAGTTGAAGTAGAACTAAACAAGCAAAAAAAAAGTGCTAGAATGATTTAGGTCTCTAGTGTCACAGTTGGGGCTGTACAGGATACAACAGTAATAGTCTGGAGAGTACAGGATACAACAGTGATAGTCTGGAGAGTACAGGATACAACAGTGATAGTCTGGAGAGTACAGGATACAACAGTGATAGTCTGGAGAGTACAGGATACAACAGTGATAGTCTGGAGAGTACAGGATACAACAGTGATAGTCTGGAGAGTACAGGATACAACAGTGATAGTCTGGAGAGTACAGGATACAACAGTGATAGTCTGGAGAGTACAGGATACAACAGTGATAGTCTGGAGAGTACAGGATACAACAGTGATAGTCTGGAGAGTATAGGATACAACAGTGATAGTCTGGAGAGTATAGGATACAACAGTGATAGTTGGGACTTTACTGGATACAACAGTGATAGTCTGCTAAGTACATGATACAACAGTGATGGTTGTGACAGTACCGGATACAACAGTGATAGTTGGGACAGTACAGGATACAACAATGATAGTGGGAACAGTACAGGATACAACAGTGATAGTTGGAACAGTACAGGATACAGCAGTCATAGTCTGAACAGTACAGGATACAGCAGTGATAGTTGAAACAGTACAGGATGCATCAGTGATAGTTGGAACAGTACAGAATATAATAGTGATAGTTGGAACAGTAAAGGATACAACAGTGATAGTTGGAACAGTACATCATACAGTATTGATAGTTTGGGACAGTACAGGATACAACAGTGATAATTTGGGACAGTACAGGACTCAGCAGTGGTAATTAGGGCAACACAGGACTCAACATTCCTTGTTAGGACAATACAGGACTGAACATTCCTTGTTAGGACAATACAGGACTCAACATTCCTTATTAGGACAATACAGGGCACAACATTCCTTGTTAGGACAATACAGGGCACAACATTCCTTGTTAGGACAATACAGGACTCAACATTCCTTGTTAGGACAATACAGGACTCAACTTCCTTGTTAGGACAATACAGGGCACAACAAGAGTAGTTATGCCAATAGAGGACTCACCAGTGATAGTCAGGACAATATGCTACTCAACAGTGTAGTAGTTAGGCCATTTCAGAACTCCACAGTGGAAGTCAGGACATATAGACACACAAAAGTAAGAATGAAAGGTTTTAGGACAAGAGAGGACATGATATTGCTGTTCAGGACAGTTAAAAGATCATCGTCATCATCAAGTGCCTTGCCAGCTGGCATAGGCGTTCATACATCTTCATAGATCTCTGTCTGTGGTGTTCTGGATCAGTTCCACTGATAAGTTTTTTCTTGGTCTGCCTCTGCCTCTTCTACTAGTGATCTTTCCAGTTGTTTCAATATTTTGCAGTTCTCATTTTCTCATCACATGACCAAAAAACATTGCTTGTCTCCTTCTGATTGTTATATATAATGTTCTACTTTCATTAGCCATTTCCAGGCAGTCATTGTTAATTATTTGCAATGTTCTTCTCAAGAACTCCATCTCAGTTGGGTCCAAATTCTTCTTAATTTGTTAAAGGATGCAGCAGTTATACTTACTGCAAGTTTATTTGTGAATGTCAAATTGTAGGTTTCAGGGACTGAATATATATTATTATAATTAGAAAAGTTGGGGGGATAGCTAGCTAGAGAGAGAGATGTTTGGCAGGGGTTGGGGTAGTGATATATGTATAATAGGACAATAGATGGATGGATAGATAGATGAATTTAAAAAAAAAAATCTAGATAGACAGTAAGACATACATGCAGACAATATATAAACGGTAATGACTGATGTTTTATTTCATTAAGATTATACAAGTGTGCATTCTTTCCTATAAATAGTTCTATGAAATAAAACATTAACATATTTTATGTGAACCTTGAAATCTGATTTGTTGTAGGAACTTCTACGGATTGAGAGAGAGAAGCTTTTAAAAGAGAAAGAGGAATTCAATAGACTCAAAGAACAGCAACTTTTGCTGCAGCAACAGCAGCAGCAACAGCAGCTACAGAAACAACAACAGCATCAGCAGCAGCAGCAGCTGTACCAACAGCAAAAACATCCGCAAGTATCAAATGAGCCGAATTATCAAACAAATACTTATAATAATCAGACTAAGTCCAATAAAGCAATCTCTTCAGGCCATGATCAAAACACTTTTCAACCAATATTATCACAGCAAGACCAGAGACAAGCAGCTGGATACAATGCACACCAAAGAAATGAGAATCAGAAACATCCAGGTGTCCTCCATCCACAGTCAACACACACTGGTGCTCATCTTGACCAAACGCGCAATGTCCGCCCTTCGTCTGTGATTTCAGCTGTCAGTCAGGAACGAGCTCACAGTCAGAACTCAGAACCTCATCCCCAGTCACAGAGTCAACAAGGGTCATATCATCAGCGATCTAATTCATCTGGACTGCCCACCAGATCATTTAATGTCAGCAGTATCCAAACAGCTTCAAGAAATGACCCTGACTTATCAAGGAACAATGTGAACTCATCAAGAACTGACCTTAGACTGTCCAGAGAAGAGATGCTGGTGATGAATAGAACAGCCAAGCCGATGTCAGCAATACCCACAGATGCCAGAGATAGCAATAACCAAGGGCAGTCATCCGCTGGCCCCATCACCAGAGAAGCTCCAACAAGAGAAGAAATTCACTCTCTGAACTCAGTTCCTAAGGCCAAGCTTCGAAGGGACACTGACTGGCAGAGTACAGAGAGCCTGAATTCACCCAAAACACCCAACTCGATTTCTCCACTTCAGCCAGAGAACAATTCTAACAAGTCATCATGGCAGCAAGGCCGGGAGGAAAAACCAGGAAGTAAATTCTCTTTGTTCACCTCGGGAGATCACTGGCTGGTACAGGAAGCTGAAAGAAGGCGAATAGCTGAGTCTGAATCTAAACTTCAACCCAGAAGAGCCTCAAACCAAAGACCTTCATCTTCAGGTCCAATAAAACCTGCTGGGGATACAGCCAATCGGTGGCGAGACCAGGGTGGGTTTGCTAATGACCAGAATCACGCCACTGAGAGATTGAAACCCTTGTCATCTATGCCGGCAGTCATCAGACAAACACTGCTGCAGAAAACAGCTGGAGTTCGCAGTTCTAACGACCCTGTTCAGACTTTCCCTCAGGCTCCTTCTCCTTCCCCATCACTTTCATATCATAACAGCTACCACAACCAGCCATCTTCCCAAGCTCCTGAACAACCTCCTCAGCAGAAGAGGCAGCAGTGGCAGTATAACCAGCAACCAGAATCTCCCCACCACCCTCCGCAACAGGTAGCTCCTGGGGGCCCAGCACTGCCACCTCAAAGACAACATGAAATTAAAATGAGTGGGTCCCAGTTGTGTTCCCACTGTGAGCAAGAGTTGGGTGAGTTTTTTTAGTCCTCTTTTGTTTAAATGTATCTCTTTTTTGTAAACAATTTTTTTTTTCACTACAACAGACACAAATTATTGAGTTATTGCCCAATTTTATCCAGCAGAACATGATTTGCTACAAAACATGATTTGCTATTATATCTTTTATGTTTGGTTTCAACATGCTACAGAAATCTGGCTGACTGTTTTAACATATAAAACAGCAACTATTTATATAAGATGTAGTTATGTTGCCTGTTTGAAAGTTGTTGACTTGAGTTTATAGAACATTACTCTCTTCAGGGAATGCCTGAAAGTCTCTTTCTCTAGCCAGTTTACCAGCCTTGTGTGCTTTCATGGTCAGTGCATCTTCAATGTCTTGTATCCTCCGTCACGGAGGTCAGCTTTTCCATCATTTTCCAGAAACTGCCCCCTTCATCACCCTTCTTTCTATACCAGTGTTCCTCAACCCTTTTACACCCACAGCCCACTAAAATAGAGGACAATGTTTGACGGCCCACCCACAGCCCACTAAAATAGAGGACAATGTTTGACGGCCCACCCACATCCCACTAAAATAGAGGACAATGTTTGACGGCCCACCCACATCCCACTAAAATAGAGGACAATGTTTGACGGCCCACCCACAGCCCACTAAAATAGAGGACAATGTTTGACGGCCCACCCACAGCCCACTAAAATAGAGGACAATGTTTGATGGCCCACCCACAGCCCACTAAAATAGAGGACAATGTTTGATGGCCCACCCACAGCCCACTAAAATAGAGGACAATGTTTGATGGCCCACCCACAGCCCACTAAAATAGAGGACAATGTTTGACGGCCCACCCACAGCCCACTAAAATAGAGGACAATGTTTGACGGCCCACCCACAGCCCACTAAAATAGAGGACAATGTTTGACGGCCCCACCTACAGCCCACTAAAATAGAGGACAATGTTTGACGGCCCACCCACAGCCCACTAAAAATAGAGGACAATGTTTGACGGCCCACCCACAGCCCACTAAAATAGAGGACAATGTTTGACGGCCCACCCACAGCCCACTAAAATAGAGGACAATGTTTGACGGCCCACCCACAGCCCACTAAAATAGAGGACAATGTTTGACGGCCCACCCACAGCCCACTAAAATAGAGGACAATGTTTGACGGCCCACCCACAGCCCACTAAAATAGAGGACAATGTTTGACGGCCCACCCACAGCCCACTAAAATAGAGGACAATGTTTGACGGCCCACCCACATCCCACTAAAATAGAGGACAATGTTTGACGGCCCACTTGACAGTTAATAAAACACAGTAACTAAACTGATGCTTACAATGCCACACTGGCTTTGTAGCGATCATATAGACACTACATGAGTTATTGTCCTTATTCTCAGCCCAGACTGGACTTCAGGTTTTTTAGCTGTCAGGTGCCATAACTGTCTTCTTTTGTTTTACTGGATTTCCAGGACTTAAACCTGTTTGATTCTCTATCTTGAGGTGTTAAATCCTCTAGACAGAAATCGTGGAAGAGTAATTTTACCTTCCCTACCCTGTTACATGATCAGGCAGACATGTCTGGCGACCATCTTCGACTTCTCTGTGACCCACTGGACTGACTGACTTTCTACCCCACCAGGACATCACACAAGCGATAAACATCCGATGACACAATGTGCCACCATGTGGGTGAGGATCACCGTGGAGAGGCCTTTAGGCCATATTTATGGCCAGGCTATATTGCAGCCCCTGGCAAGAGCCAGAGTTAGGGCTTCAAATAATGAAATATTTCATCCTGAAAGGGACGGAAAGGTTCGGTTAATATATAATAATGTGACCCACTGGTTGAAGAACACTGCTCTAGAGGACTATGATACTCGATATTTTTGTATAATAAAAGTTTATAATTTGCCAGGATGGAAGGTATCTTAAATAATCATGAACTCTTTGTTTGCCAGGTTATGGTGCAGCCATGGTGATTGAATCCCTGGGCCTCTTCTTCCACGTACAGTGCTTCAGATGTTGGGTGTGCCATGCCTCCCTCGGGACGGGCGACCAGGGAGCAGACGTCAGGGTCAGGGTCAACAAACTACACTGCCCCAACTGTTACAGCAACGATGAAGGTATTCATCAAATTTTCTTTGACAAAACGTAAAAAAGGTCAAATTATGTCCTATGAACCTGTAAAGTGATAAGCTTTCACATTTGATAGGCCATGGCATGATGAGATGGGGTAGCTAAGTTTGCTTTCTCGCTACTTTTCCTTCTAAGACAACTACCAGAATTATGTAAATTATCATATACTGATTTAATGAGGTCACAACTGAACTGTTAGAGAAGATAACCCTGTGACTACAAAAGATTGACCCTGGGACATTGTCTTGGTAGACATTTCCTCTTAATATATTTCAACCATGACCGATATTGTGATCAAATCAAAATAAATAATAATTTTGTTAAACGTTTTGTGTGAGTGTGTGTGTATATTTGTGTGTATGTGTGTGTATATATATATGTGTGTGTATGCGAGAGAGAGAGAGAGAGAGAGAGAGAGAGAGAGAGAGAGAGAGAGAGAGAGAGAGAGAGAGAGAGAGAGAGAGAGAGAGAGAAAGAGAGAGAGAGAGATGTTCAAAGTATTTAAGATCTTGTTAAATAATTTTTTTCTTCTGTTCAAGCATCTGCAATATCACTACATCTCAAAAGCTCAGAAATATAAAATTTACATGAAATAAAATAATAAAAAATATAACCGAGCACAACTCTGTAAACTTTTAGACTCTACCAGTGTAGTTATCTTTCTTTGTTTACTTTTTATGTTTAGTTATTTTTATGTGGTCATAAGTGCAGATGGATGTAAGTCGCATAGGCCATAAGTCAAGGAGAAGGTGTATATCTCCGTAATAACATTGTGAGGTTGAATAACATTTTACTCATATGATGTTTATATTCATAACCCATATTAATACAGTCCCACAATATAAATACTTCTAAATTAAAAAAAAAAGTTAGTTGCTTATCCTTTGTCAAAAATTGTATACCAACCCAGGCATTTGGTTGTTTGTGGTTTGACTAGCCAGCAACCCAGTCATTTGGTTGTTTGGGGTTTGACTAGCCAGCAACCCAGGCATTTGGTTGTTTGTGGTTTGACTAGCCAGCAACCCAGGCATTTGGTTGTTTGTGGTTTGACTAGCCAGCAACCCAGGCATTTGGTTGTTTGTTTTTTGACTAGCCAGCAACCCAGGCATTTGGTTGTTTGTGGTTTGACTAGCCAGCAACCCAGGTATTTGGTTGTTTGTTTTTTGACTAGCCAGCAACCCAGCATTTGGTTGTTTGTGGTTTGACTAGCAAGCAACCCAGGCATTTGGTTGTTTGTGGTTTGACTAGCCAGCAACCCAGGCATTTGGTTGTTCGTGGTTTGACTAGCCAGCAACCCAGGCATTTGGTTGTTTGTGGTTTGACTAGCCAGCAACCCAGGCATTTGGTTGTTTGTGGTTTGACTAGCCAGCCACCCAGGCATTTGATTGTTCGTGGTTTGACTAGCCAGCAACCCAGGCATATGGTTGTTTGTGGTTTGCCTAGCCAGCCACCCAGGCATTTGGTTGTTTGTGGTTTGACTAGCCAGCAACCCAGGCATTTGGTTGTTTGTGGTTTGACTAGCCAGCAACCCAGGCATTTGGTTGTTTGTGGTTTGTCTAGCCAGCCACCCAGGCATTTGGTTGTTTGTGGTTTGACTAGCCAGCAATCCAGGCATTTGGCTGTTTGTGGTTAGACTAGCCAGCAACCCAGGCATTTGGTTGTTTGTGGTTTGCCTAGCCAGCCACCCAGGCATTTGGTTGTTTGTGATTTGACTAGCTAGCAACCCAGGCATTTGGTTGTTTGTGGTTTGCCTAGCCAGCCACCCAGGCATTTGGTTGTTTGTGGTTTGACTAGCTAGCAACCCACGCATTTGGTTGTTTGTGGTTTGACGAGCCAGCAACCCAGGCATTTGGTTGTTTGTGGTTTGACTAGTCAGTTTTCTCAAATTTAGTTTGAATTATTAGTTTTCAAACATTTCACACTGAGCTAACACTTCTAGTTGGTACATTTGTATAATGTTTGTTTTTCAAATAATTTTCATCTCATGACATTTTCAAAAATGAAATTACTGGAGCCTTGCTTTTTTTTTTTTTTTGAGGTCATCGGCGTGAAAAGATTAACAGTTTTTAAACTGAATACTACTAATATTATAAATGTTCTGTTTCATAACTACAGAAATGTTCTGTTTCATAACTACAGAAATGTTCTGTTTCATAACTACAGAAATGTTCTGTTTCATAACTACAGAAATGTTCTGTTTCATAACTACAGAAATGTTCTGTTTCATAACTACAGAAATGTTCTGTTTCATAACTACAGAAATGTTCTGTTTTCATAACTACAGAAATGTTCTGTTTCATAACTACAGAAATGTTCTGTTTCATAACTACAGAAATGTTCTGTTTCATAACTACAGAAATGTTCTGTTTCATAACTACAGAAATGTTCTGTTTCATAACTACAGAAATGTTCTGTTTCATAACTACAGAAATGTTCTGTTTCATAACTACAGAAATGTTCTGTTTCATAACTACAGAAATGTTCTGTTTCATAACTACAGAAATGTTCTGTTTCATAACTACAGAAATGTTCTGTTTCATAACTACAGAAATGTTCTGTTTCATAACTACAGAAATGTTCTGTTTCATAACTACAGAAATGTTTCTGTTTCATAACTACAGAAATGTTCTGTTTCATAACTACAGAAATGTTCTGTTTCATAACTACAGAAATGTTCTGTTTCATAACTACAGAAATGTTCTGTTTCATAACTACAGAAATGTTCTGTTTCATAACTACAGAAATGTTCTGTTTCATAACTACAGAAATGTTCTGTTTTATAACTACAGAAATGTTCTGTTTTATAACTACAGAAATGTTCTGTTTCATAACTACAGAACATAAACTTGCATTTGCCTATTTCCTTGTGTTGCAGTTGGTTTGAAGTTCAGTAAAGTGTAATACTGGCTGAGGTGTCTTGCTAGACCTGCATGCAGCGTGGAAGCTCAACCATTGGTGCTGACGGAACTCTCCATGGCAAATTTGTGATGTGGGCATGGTTCACTGTGTACAGTCATCAATAGCAGCTGTAAATATAAACATAAGAGATGTATGTGATGTTAATGAGACTGGCATCATATGTTGGCCGCAGTGCCATACTGATGACATATAGATGCAGTATGTAATATTTACTTTACTCAGCCACCGGTGGATTTCCATTTCATTTACCATGATCTTTTCTGTCAATCTTTGAATATGGGATATAAAATATATTTTCTCATACTGTTATTTGTCTGCCATTTTAGAATGTTAACTGCTGTTGTTAACTTTGTGCTCAGTTTGTTAACACTAAAAGAGTGCCTGGTTCTTGATTTTCTGTGCTTTTTTCCATTTTAGTCAAGGTTAGAGTTGAAGGGTCAGAATGTTTAGTGTTTTTGTTTTGTTCTGTGTTATACTCTGTTGTCGAGAATATTACAAAATAATATTAATAATAATGTTGAGATAATGAAATACATTTTTCATTTTAAACTGCTGACTGTAGATATGCAATTTCTGCTGTGAACGCATGGAAATGTCAACCAGAGGTACATAATTTAAGAGTTAATACTAAGCTGTATGGATCATTTTAGGACATGCTTCTCACCACATCATGGAGGCCTGTGGATTTCTCTGAAAACCATTGGCAGGGAGAGCAAAGAGAAGAGAGTTACATTCTCTAATACAAATATACAATATATTGTGCCTGAATTGAATAGTATAATATGAACTGAGCTGAACTTCATATATGTGTGTAAATTATTTAAGAGTTTGGGAGTTACTGTGGGAGTTGCTGTAGTGCAGTGGCTATGAAACTTACCTTTGGTCATGTAGTCTTATGTTTGAATCCTCATCGAGGTTGATTAAATCTATTTATGTGTGCTCAAGGGGCCAGGGAAGTGCAGTCAGTCGTATGATACTGATTATATCAGCCACTGAGTTTCTATAAAACTAAAGGTATGTTATTGTTCATTGATCGTCTTCATCGCACATCAGACATGACGTTCTCCTATTATCTCCTCCTGAGTATGTCTCTAAGGTTTTTAGACTAACAAATTCCATTCTGTTCTGGTTGATGTAATGATGAGTGGCTGCTGAATGGTTTTCTTGTCTTGCTGCTCTAATTGGTACACTCGTGTTTGTGGTCTGTTTAGTTGAGTTCCATTGCTATCAACATATACCCAGTACACCCATGTATGTGGTCTGTTTAGTTGAGTTCCATTGCTATCAACATATACCCAGTACACCAATGTATGTGGTCTGTTTAGTTGAGTTCCATTGCTATCAACATATACCCAGTACACCCATGTATGTGGTCTGTTTAGTCGAGTTCCATTTCTATCAACATATACTTAGTACAGACCCAAGCCTGATCATGGATGGGTATATCTTGTGTTGAAAGTACAATTAAGGAGCAGCTTGCCGAGTAGTTAGAATGCTGAGCTTTCATGTTAGAGACCTGGGTTCATTCCCCATTGAGTGTTCGAGATTTCTTTATGTCAAGGGCAAAAATAATCATCCTAACCAGCATATTTTGTGGTGACCACACGACTCTGTCTGCCATAAATTCTCAGGTTCATGCCCCCCCTGTGGTGACCACACGACTCTGCCATAAATTCTCAGGTTCATGCCCCCCCCCCTTCCTTCTACTTTTTTCTTTCCCTGTCCTACACCAGGTTAGTAAATAGATGCAATAACGACAGACAGCAGTACAGTCCAAATCAAAATATGTGCATGTCACTTAACTCTTTGAGTCCCAGGAGTTTAGCATCACAGGCCCAAGGGGTAGTCAAGAGAGATGTAAAATCGGCGCATCTTTCATTCATTGGGCTTCTAGGTAGGAATCTGTGAACGTATGATGCGTTCCTTGGGACACAAAGAGTTAACTTTCTCAGTACCAAGAAACACATCATACGTTCATACGTTCCTACCTAGAAGCCTTTTGAATGCAATGTGTCAATTTTACATCTCTCTTGACTACCCCTTGTGTCTCTGATGCTAAATCCCCAGG